TTAATATAAAGTTATTATTAAAAGCTAAAATATAACTAATAATATTACTATAATATTTTAATATTATAAATTTATAAGCTATTTTTAAGAATTTTTGTTTTAAAACTAAATTATTATATAATATAAGTTTAAAATAAATAAAATAGCACTTTATTAAAAAAAATAGCATGCTATTTAAGCTAATTAATTATAAATAAGCTTTAAAAAATTTTTTATATTTAGTTAATATAGCATTTTAAGCTATAATATTTTTAAAAGTGCTTAAAGTATTAAAATTGCTATAAAATATAAAAAACGCACATATTAACTTAAAGTATACTACTATTAAAAGCTTAATTTAAAAGCTAAATAAGCATTTTTAATACTTAAAAGCTATGTTTATTACTTAATAAATTATTACTAAATATAATTAATGCTAATTAATAAAATTATTATTAAACAAACTTTTAAATTTATAACTTATTATATTATTTTTATTATTTATGCGTTAAATTATAAACTATATATTTATAGCTAATTTTAAGCTATTAATATATATTAAATATATTATTATATAAATTAAAGCAAAAATAATGGTTAATATTAGTTTTAAAGCAATAAAACTGCTAATTTAACAAATTAACAAAATGTTTAGTTTTTTTAAAAAATAAATAAGCAATAATATAAATATATTTATAAGCAAAAAAATAACTAATTAATATAAATTAAACAGTTTTATTATAAAGTTAATTATATTTAAAAAACCTAAAAGTAATAACAAAGTTAAAAAAGCTAATAATAATATTAAGCAAATTATATTATATAAAAATTTAACTTATTGCTATTTTAATTTTTAAATTTTATTAAAAGTAGCTATTTATATATATAATTAAACTTTAAAGCTTAATAGCTATAATAGTTATTTTTTATTGTTTAAAATATAGCTATTAAATTAATAATTAGCTATAAAAATTATTAATTATATTAAAAATCTAAACAAAAAAAAAAGTTAAATTTTAGCAATATTTAATATAAAACTATAAAACATTACTAATATATAACTATTTTAATAGTTTAAAAGTATTAAAAAACTAAATTTAAACTTATTTACAAAAAAAAAAAAAGCTTAATTAAAACTTATAAAATTAACAATTAAGTTTTATGCGTTAAATAATAAACTAATAAATTTAAACTATATTATAATAACTTATAAGCTATTATAAATTATTATTATAGTAATATATATAAACTATAAAGCTTTAAAAAAATAATATTGCTTAATAAATATAATAGTAGTAATTTATTTTTAGCTTATAGCAAAAATAACTACTTAATAAAAAGTTTATAATATATTAATAAATATATGCTAAAAAAAAATAAATAAAAATTAAAAGCATTAATAATATAAATATTAAAAAGCATTTATAAATAGCTTTATTTTTATAAATAGCTAAAATAGCTATTTAATAAAAAAAGTAATTATAGCTTTTAAGTAATATAAGCTATAATATATATTATGCAATAATTACTATATAAAAACTTAAAAAGTATAAACTAGTTTTACTTAAATTAGTAATATTTATATATAGTTTTTTAGTACTATACTTAAGAAATATCTTTTCTTTAACATCCACCTTTTTAAGTACAGACCTGACTTTACGTAGTAATTACAAAGTTCTAGGCCAGTATTCAGAAGGCACATACCTAGGTTACTTAAGTACACTGTTTCTACTATAGGTAGTTACTGTGCTCCGATTACAGATGATACATGTACATGTATTTATTTTCGAATCGTATGTGCGGAATCTAGGAAGGCGATATATATATATTCTGGCAGTCATTCCGTGCTGGTTGTCTGCAGTCTTGCCAACGCCCACTTCCACGTCAAGTCCTCTGCGGCATCGAATTTGCTAAACCCTCCACTTCCACTTCAAAGCCGCCCTTCCTCCTCCCCGTCGCTCTCACTTGCTCTCCCCACGCCCTGCTTAGAATCAATCGATACCCATGCAGCGGTCGGGCTAGATTTGGTTATATGGATGCCTACGATAGGAGGTAGTGAGTTGAGCAAATGCCGGCGCCGCCATCACCTGCGGGTGACTCGCAGCCACCATCACGACCAACATCACGACCACCGTCGTCTCAATCTCCGTCACAGCCGCATCACGACCACTCTCCCTCGACCCCGAGTGGCCTTCGCCAAAGCCGCACCCTCTCCAACTCCAACTCTAGGTCCAGCCGGTCACACGACGACGACAACAACAACGACCCCGTCGCCAGTTCCCCTCCCCAACGAGACACCCCGTCGTTGTCTGACGCCCACGGCTCGAGTCTCCTCGATCTGAGCCGCCAGCCGCCGGAGGACTCGAGTGCTCCCACGCCGATTCGCCGATTCGAGACCTCTTCGCTGCTCCACGACGAAACGAGTTCTCTGCTCCACCGTGGACGGGCTCACGATGGCCCCTGCAATCATGGCACCTTCTCCCCACGAGTGACCAGTCCCCCCTTTCGAGATTCGCGTGCCGGGTCTGAGAGGGCATCGTTGCTGGGCTCTGATGGCTCTGCTACACTGGGCGACACGCCACCGCCGCCTCCCGGTGGCCGATGGAGGAGGACCTTCTCCAGGATGATGAAGAGCAAGAAAATGACAACGTCGAGTGTCTTGGCCCAGCGGCACGGCGTGGAGTACTCATGGTCCATGTTTCTCTCCTACTACATCCCGTGTCTGACGTGGATGCGCCAGTACCAATGGTCGTGGCTCACCGGCGACCTCACCGCCGCAATCACCGTGGCTTCCATGTATCTGCCCATGGCCCTCTCCTATGCCGAGAATCTCGCCCACGTCTCCCCCATCAGCGGGCTGTACGCCTTCGTCTTCAACCCCCTGTTTTATGCGCTTCTAGGCAGTTGCCCCCAAATGGTCGTGGGACCCGAGGCTGCCGGCTCTCTGCTCGTCGGCTCGATAGTCAAAAGCAACGTCGATGTCGGGCAAGGCGACGAAAACGACGCCGTCATACACTCCAAGGTCGCCGGTGTCGCTGTCGGCTTAGCCGGGGCCTCTGTCTTCATCATGGGACTGGGCCGATTCGGATTCGTCGATAACGTCTTGAGTCGCCCATTCCTGCGTGGCTTCATTTCCTCCATCGGTTTTGTCATCCTCATCGATCAGTTGACGCCAGTTCTCGGCTTGAACAAGGTGGCGGCTGACGTGCCCAGCGTACCCCACCGCAGCACCGTTGACAAGCTTGTCTTCATCTTCACCCACCTTGGGCAATGGCATAAGCTTTCGGGCATCATCGGCGTCGTAAGCTTTACCGTCATCATGGTCCTTCGGTAAGTGCTCCCGTCCCGTCACCTTATTGGTCTAGTCAGTATTGACCAATACATGTGCCACTAGTGAGATTAAGCGCAGACTACAACCCCGATATCCTAGTGTGGCATATTTCCCAGACCGTCTTCTCGTCGTCGTTCTCTCGGCTGTCTTGGCTTATTTTCTCGGCTGGGAAGGCAAGGGTGTCGAGGTTCTCGGCAGAGTCGAAGCTCCATCCGGCCATGTCTTCACTTTCCGCAATCCTTTCCAGCTGTCTCACCTACCTCACATTCGTGAAGCATTGGGGACTTCCTTTTTAATTGGGATGCTAGGCTTCTTCGAATCATCCGTTGCTGCCAAGAGTCTTGGCGACACTGATGTCATCGAAGGTATGCAACTCAGTCCAAATCGTGAGTTGATTGCTTTAGGAACCGCAAACATTGTCGGTGCGTGTTTCATGGCTCTACCTGCGTTCGGGGGCTACGGTAGGAGTAAGGTGAACAAATCGACAGGTGGGAAAACTCCCATGAGCTCGGTATTTGTCAGTATCATCACCATTATCTGTATCCTGTATCTTTTGCCGTGGTTCTACTATCTTCCTGTAAGTCTATATGCTGTAGCCCTGGCCCAAGTTTATCTTACAGCATCACTAAATCGGCTTTCAGAAACCCGTCCTCTCCGCACTGATCATGGTAGTTGCCTATTCCCTTATCGAAGAAATCCCCGAAGACTTGATCTTCTTCGTGCGAATCAAGGGGTGGAAGGAGCTGTCCCTCATGGCTGTAATAGTCCTTGTTACTGTCTTCTTCTCACTCAATCTTGGCATTGCTATCGGTATAGGCTTATCGCTACTAGAAGTCGTGCGTCATGCTACTCGCCCTCGTATTCAGATTCTTGGTCGCGTCCCCAATAGTGACCGTTTTGCCAACGCCGAAGAACACCCCGAGCAAGTCGAGTTCATCGAGGGGTGTTTAATCGTCAAAATCCCTGAGCCCCTAACCTTCGCCAATACAGGTGACCTGAAAAGCAGGCTACGCCGAATAGAACGCTACGGCACCAATATGGCACACCCAGCACTACCCCGTTTGCGCCCCCAAGACAGCAATCGAAATGTCATTTTCGACATTCATGGAGTGACATCGATGGATGGCTCTGGTACACAGGTGTTAGAGGAGATCGTCCGTAAGTACCGGCAACAAGGCGTCAGGGTTTTCTTCACCCGTGCACCCGGTCATGGTCATGAAGTGTGGAAGCTGCTCGAGCGGAGTGGCATTGTTGCACTTGTGGGGGGCGAGCATCTCTTTGTTGATGATATCCAAGATGCTTTGCGTATGGCCGAATCTGTGCGTCTGACTGACCCTGAAGGGCACGCGGCTGACCATGAAGCACCATTGCTTGCCTAGAGCGATTGCAAGTACATATACCCCAATAGTGCCTACAGAACTTGTCATCAGCAAATCATAGCAAAAAGCAACAGCAATGTTTAAACAAAAATAATGTTATAGAGATAAATAAAAGATTAAATAAAAGAAGCAATATAGTTTTATATAGTTTATAATACACTTTTTATAAATATAAAAAATAATAATAATAATTAATATTATTTATTAATAAAGTGTTATATATTTAGTTACTTTATATTTAAAAGGGTTTAAAAAATAAGTAAATTTAGTTTTAATGAGTGATTAAATCATTAAAATTATTTGAAGCATCAAGCCTTGAACCTGATTTGAACAGGTGACCTTAGGAACTGCAGTCCCACGCTCTAACCACTGAGCTACCAAGGCGCTAGAACTGTCTGGCGTGCTGCAAAGATTAACACTAACCTCTATACTGCGCACAGTGCATTTAGTTCTTGTAGCCATCGAGAAAAACAGATAATGAGTCCTCACTGTAATGCCTCATGCACTCCTTCTTCGATCATTATTTCGACCTCTCGATGAGAACGCCTTACCGCTGAACGACGTGCCCTAGCCTACCTATCTTGTTAAGAGGTACCGAACGCAAGATAAGAACCCAGAAACCCACCCATCACCACCCATCACCACCAACATCCCTAGGCGACTTCGTGAACATGTCGTCGTCAGAGCCGCGGACCAAGAACTCGGTTCCCGGCTGGGTCCAATTTCCTCACCCGCACGTCGAGCAATGTATCATCTCGTTCCCCCGCAAACACATCCTCCTAGTCACCATCAACCGCCCGCAGTTCAGGAACTGCCTGCCCGTCGAGACAACCATCCAAGTTAGCACTCTGTAGAAATGGTACGACAGCGAGCCGGACCTGCGGGCAGCAGTATTCACGTGTGATAGGAGCGCCAACGTTCAGTGAGGTGAAATGATGATTATCTGTTCCTATTTGGATCGCAATGCCTACTACAGCTTGCTGCTCTGCTGCCTGATCTTAGCATAGCCGTTCGAAAGCGCAACTCTCCCGTCGCCCTTCACGATTGTCTCGAAAACGTAGTGATCGAGTCCACCGCCGGAACTGGCTTTCCAGATCCACGTCTCTAGCTCATCACCCGGGTATACGACGCTCTTGAATCTTGCTCCAAATGCCTTGAGCCTCGTGGGATCCGAATCGGCCACCCCCCTCAGGAGCCCATGCGCCGCAATATTCCAAGTGCCCAGGCCCTGCAGGATCGCGCCTTGGAAGCCTGCGCGCTTGCTGAACTCATCGTCAGCGTGCATCGGGTTGTAGTCGCCGCACAATCGGTACAGCAGCGCCGTCTCCGGCGTCGTCTTATACGTGTGCACGGCGTCCGGCTGGCGCGCCGGCATCTTGACAGCGGGCTTGCTGGGGCCCTTGGGACCTCCGTACCCGCCCTGCCCCATGCCGAACGCCGTGCTGGTCATTTTGACATAGATCGTCCCCGTCTTGACATCTACCAACTTGTGCTCCTGCTCGGAGATCATGGACCCTCCCTTGTCGTACGCGCCGAGAACCTTACTATGGATCTCGAGGTCCAGTCCCGCCGAGCTGGTCGGAATCGGGTTCAGCATCTCAATGCCCCGCTCACCGTCCACGGAGCGTTGCGCATCGAACGGTGGCATGCCTGGCACGGGCTCCGATGTGGTGCGTTGGACAAAATCGAACACATCCTGGTCTGTTTGCTTGAATGCAAGATTGATGGGGAATGTTGGAAACGCGGCGAAGCGTGGATGTAGCTCGTAGAGAAAGTGTTTTTCATCGGCTTGTACACCAATTGCGTTCGCCTATGGCGAGCCACTGGGGTGTCAGTCATACAAGCACGGCTGCTTCTGCCATCGATTGAAGCATGTGAGCAAGTCAAGAAAGGCTGGACGGTGGGGACTCACAAAGAGCAACACGTCACGCCGGTTGTATGCGCATTTGATCGGACGAAACTTGTATCCGACGGCCTTGCGAAAGTCGACATTGTCGTAGCGGCCATCGGCTCGCTTTACAGGTCGATCACTAAGATGCATTTCCACCTGTGATGTGATGATGTGTAAAGGGATGCCTTGTTCCGCCCTTACTGGAGTTACGACAACTTGATTGGCTACAACAGGAGCTTCATGTCTACTGTAGGAATATATACCACGCAGATGGTGTCTTTACGCGAGTGAATGGCTCCGCGAAGGGAGCAACCTCGGCAATATAGCTAGACAGGGAGTCAAAATATCCTAACCTATCCCCACACATCCAGGGGTGACTACGAGCTAACAAGGGGGCTCATGAAAGATAAGCCAGAGTTCTGCGATCCACTACCCAGGTATCCTTCGCATAGGCAAAAAGCTAATTTGGACGTTCGAAATGATGGTACTCCCCTTAAACTACAGGATGAAGCCAAAGGCCATGGGTTCCTCAGCTATTGTCCACAATTCCAGCACCTCGCCGCAAAAACTCTGAAGGTCGGCTAGCTGATCTACACGGAAAGCCAGGCATGTATCAAATTCTATGGTAATGCAGACTTTTGCCCTGTCAACTCCACATATGATTCTTGGTACGTGGCCATAGTTCTTGACGGACAGGGGGCCTAATGAAGATCCATCAAGCAACGATGCCCCTGCGGGCTAGCCAAGAAAAATAGCTTCGGAGACATGTCTTCGTCGCTCATCCCTTCAAGCGACGACACCCTGGCGTTAGGAAAAGTTTTAAAAAACCGAGCCACTGCCAATCGAAGTTCAATTTTTGCAAGATGCAGCCCGATGCAAACTGTTTAGCCAGCCAAATTAGTACATTCCCCCCACGGTGAGGGCATATTTTGTTTTGGCGGAGGGAATTTCACTGAAGGACTTGATAACTCACTTCTCGAGCCGCCACCGAAAGGGATAAATGCATTCCTCATGGCTGGTGTCGGGTTCTCCCACCGTGACGGATCAAACTTTTCGGGATCTGGAAACGCGTCCACATCACGGTGAAGACTGTAACTTTGAGTCGTCACAGTATATCCGGCTGGAATATGATGACCACATAGCTCAGCTCCTCCTTCGGGCACCTCCCTCGGCAGTCCTGCGGGAACAACTGGGAACCTTCGGAGAGTCTCATCAATCACATGTTCAAGGTATGGCATGTGCACTTGTCGCAAATCCTCATAGGTAAAGCCATGTGGAAGCACTTCGAGTGCCTCCACAAGCCGAGATTTGATTTCGGGATCGCGACAAACAGACCAGACTAGATAAGTCAGAGTGTTGGACGTAGTATCACTCCCAGCAACGATAAATGCTTGCGCATGGTCCCCAACCTCGTCCTGAGAGATGCTCATGTCACCCTGGGCCTCATAGACTTTTGTGAAAACCGTCGGTCTGGCATCAGGGCCCTCTCTTTCTACGATAGCGCTATGGCGATTAAGGGAGACCTTGGAATAGTTACGTATACGCTTGGTATACATCTGTGCCTTCGATAATATAGGAATTGGGATCCCAAAGCGGACAGAGAGCTGGAAGAGGGAGGGAAAGGTTGACCGATATGACGCCAACTTGCCAACGTTCTGTAGGTCGGTAATGTATTGATTGACCTGAAGCTGTTTAGTTGAAGCTCGAATAGCCGGCGCCGTTTCGCCGAGACGAGGCTGTCGAACACTAACCTTTCCATTCTCGAGCATTCGGAAGGACTCTCCAAAGCTCAGCTCGCCAATGACATCAGTCGTTAGAAAAAGCCACCACTTGTAAATGTCTGCCGCGCCGCGAGTCTTATATTCTCTTTCCATCCCCTGCATAGCAAGGTCGACTTTGCACTCGACTTGCGGCAAGAAAGGTTTAAGGCCCGACTCGGAGAGTGGTGATGAGAGCAATCTCCTGAAGCGCCTATGTACAGCTACATCTGGTGTATTGAAAATCGTCCGAACAAAAGGAGCAAAGTCCAGGTACCATTGTGCTTTGGGAAACTCGTTTTTAATTGTGAACACTTTCTGGATGGCTTTTGGATCCGCAATGTACACCTCACGAGGGCCGACTCGGACGATGGGGCCTACTGGCAGTTAGTATGAACGCTCTACCTTTACTGGAGTGATGGGAGCCGCCATACCGTATTTGAGGTGAAGATTGTGGATATAGGACGCCTTGCGCCCAGTCACCCAGAAGTACTTTGCGACGAGTTCCGTGTATCCAGCATACCATGGCCCCGGAACTTGTGAGATGGGGTCGCTTAGGACGAAGCCAACGAGTTTGCTCACCAGTAATATGGCAATTAAGCTCAAGGCGCCTAATACGTAGAAATGGTTGATTTTCAGTAGCCCTGGTATCACATCCATGCTTATGTTTCCATATCGTGTGAATATGAAGTCGTAGGTTCAAATGTTGATAATGAGTGGCACATTCCCTTTCACCATAGGGCACTGTCCTCTATTTATATGTGCTCGTTAATATGAGCGGTGGGGAGGTACTAACTGTTGGGGATATATAGCATTATCACTGACACCGTAGTAGCGCTGCTGTTTTGCATTGTCACACTGGCTACCTACAGGTAAGTAGCTCATTATCTCGATTTATTAATTTTGCATTAAGGCACCTAATGTCAAATATAGCCAAAGTACATTATTTGTAGCTATTTTATCTTACTTATCCCTGAGGCTAGTAGTTAAACAAGGGCAACTGCACATTATCTGAACTTAGATCAGATTCCGGCAGAGGTGAAAACATGTGCTGCAGTTACATTTCATGTCTACTGCGTAGTCTTCATTGTACACAATATTGAAATATGGAGTTCCGGCTTACCCGAAAACCACACGATGTAATAGTTCGGCTAGTGGCTGAAATGCTGCAGAAGGGCCGTTAATCTTCTCCTGCCTCGGAAGGACCCTGCCAGGAACCTTGTCGCTTTATCGCTGTTATAAAGGTAACCCGACTTGAGTGCTGCTAAGCAATTCTGTGATTATTATCTCAGGTGCCTTAGACCAGAATGGTCCTTGGGTTTATACCTGTCAGAATAAACGAGCTAGTTAATTAGGAGTTTAGAAGTGTGTATTGTTAATGTTAAGCAGAGTTTGCTTTACCTTTAGGGGGTTATTATTATTAATAACCTACTATGCTGCTTTGCAGCGCGGTTTTTTTACTTGTGTACCTATAGGTAAAACTATACAAAAAGCTAGATAAAAACCTTATGTAATAATGTTTATGTTGCTACTTTAAAGTTTTTTTACTTTATAATAACTAGTTTTTATTAACTAGCTTGCTAAATAAAAAATAATAGTTAAAAAGTAAAAGAACTTTTTTTAAAGCTTTTAAACTTTTTGCTTTTTTAAAAAGCATATAAAAGCTTTTTTTTTGTTTTTTAAGAGCTTTAAAAAAGCACTTTTGCTTTTTTTGCTAGTTTTTTTTTTATTTTTTG